CCTTGCCACGCCCACCAAGCCACACCATGCCCACCAAACCAAGTCCACAGAACCGGCAGTAAAGAAATTTGGATTTCACCATTGGGTAGCACAAATAATAGCACAAAATCAGGCAACCTGGAAAATATATCAATGTCCTGGTCAGACAGAAGCAGTGACAGATATACATTGTGCTTTCTACCAGCATAGTTGTTGTTGTTGTTGTTTTTTCAAATGGGATAAATATGTATCTTTCTTGATTCACTATAGTGAAAGCAACAAAGGAACATATTGCTTAGGGATTCCAGAAACCAAGTCCACATGGTCATAAGCGCTGCTAAAAAGAAATGTTTTTATACCATCCCCACAAAACTGCAGAGGGTAGAACATCAAATTAGCCAAAGAGAAAGCCCTCCAAAATTTTAGAATTAGCACTGAAGAGAGATAAGACTATGGCTCATGCCCATTTGAGAAGGCTATATAAACTATACAGTTGGACTGGTTTGACAATCAATATCTTGGAGTCTAAGTGAACAGTCACTTAAATATGAGCCAGCAGTGTGCAGCAGCCATCAAAAAGACCAATGTTCTAGACTGCAATATTCTAGACTGCATTTGTTGTGACCCCGACTCCCGAGCCTGTCCTAACAGAGGAAGAGGACTTAGAGGGTGATGGGAAGGAACTGATAAGGCCTCCCTCTCCAGGACCCTCCTCTCTGGCAATGCCTCAGGTTCCATCCGAAGGCCAAGAGGAACAGCCTGGGATATGCCAAGAGGAAAGCATATTGGAACAACAACAGATAGGGAGCGAGGATGATGAATCCTGGCTTGATCCCAGGCAGTGTCGGAGGGAGAAGCGTGTGCAGCAACGAAAGAGGTGTGGGAGGGCCAGAGATTGAGCTGAGTCACTGAGCCACACCCCACAAGGAATAAAAGTGGGTGTGATTGCTCTTCAGGCTTTGTGACGGTCAAAGTTAAAAACCTGAGTGTCACATCGCGTTACCTGAAATCTGGCTTGTACATATTTGGATTGGACCTTGGCTAACTCTTGCTCCGTGGATTACTTTTTGCTACTGAACCAGACTGAGGATAAACTCTCTCTTGCTTACTGTGAGTGAAAACTGACTTGGCAGGCATTTCGCAGTTTACTGTGAAAACTCTTATCTGCAAGAGTTTCTAGTCTGATTGCTTAATAAAATCTTGGCAGGCGTGCCTGGTGGTGTGTTTGCCTGTGTGGGGAAGGGGGACAGAACAGCATTAAAAGAGGGATAGAATCAAGATCATGTGAAGTATTACTGGTAGTACCACTTTACAAAACCTTAGTAAGACAACACTTGGAATACTGAATCCAGTTTTCGCCAAATAAAAAAGATGTCAAGACTATGGTTAGAGTGCAGAAAAGAGCAACAAAAATGATCAGGGAATTTGAAGCAAAACATATAAATAATGGTTGAAAGAATTGTATGTTTACTAGTCTAGTGAAAAGTAGGATTCGGAGAGACATGATCACCATATTCCAATATTGCAATACTGCCACAAAGATGAGGGGGTCAAACTATTTTTCAAAGCACCAGTAGGCAAGACAAGGAACAATGGATGGAACTTAAACAAGGAGAGAAGCAACCTAAAGCTAAGGAGAATGATCCATTGATCATTCTTGGTGGCGCAGTGATTAGAATACAGTATTACATGCTAACTTTGCCCATAGTCTGCAGTTTGAGCTTGATGGGGCTAAAGGTTGACTCAGCCTTCCATCCTTCCAAAGTCAGTAAAATGAGGACCCAGATTGTTGATTTCAATATGCTGACATTGGAAACTGCTCAGAGAGTTCTGTAACATATTATAGAGTGGTATATAAACCTAAGTGCTAATGCTATTGCTAGAGTTTTTGCCATACCTCTCCCTTGGAAAAACTGATTTGAAATCCACAAAGGATGCAAAAAAAAAAAGGATGCCTTTGAATGGTGAAGTGTATTTTTCAGCTAATGGTGCAAGACCAGACAGTGGTCTAAAGTTGAACCTTTATAATCAGGGGTTTTTTTTGTGCAGAGATCATTTAAAAGAGGCCTAAGAGATTTTAGGTAAAATAATAAATCATTAAACTAATTATTTATAATTTTTATAGAGCTTTGGCTTTGTAATAAAATACTAGTCTACTCAACATGTCTTTCTGATGTATAGCTGTGGGCTGAAATTCAAGTACTAATGCTGTATGGGGTGGTAGATCAAGGGGATACCTTCTTTTATATACAAAATTGGGCTCACAAGTATAGCTAGAGGCCAGTAAGAATTATTGCACTAAATGTTTTCTGTATTGGCTCCAAACTAAACTACTATATTATCCTGGAAATAGAATTTGGTATGGACTGTGTCTTTGCCAATATCCAAGGAAAAGTCTAATAAATGTTAAAAAGCATTCTCCAGATGTGAGAAAATCTTACAAGACCAATATTAAGAAAGTATAATTTTGGACAACTAGCAGGAAAAAGAGTTCTAATGGTGGCTTTTATTAAACTATAAAATAATCCTTTTTAAGTATTTTCACCACTTGCACTCTTAAACATGAGACTAGACAAAGTTCCAAATTACTCTTAAGGGATTATGAAAAAAAAATAATATGTTGGCCAAAGACCATATATTTTAACAATTTGAATCCATTTTCCTCGTCTCTACTTTCAGCCAAAAAGAAATGTACATACAGCCAGCATATGGATTAAATATTTGTTCATTTATCATATCAACACCTCACTCCCATTGACCTTATTTTAGGAAGATAAGATACCGGGAATCAAGGTAAATGACTGATCCTAGAGCATGTACTAATGTAATTCAGGAAATACTGTCATGACAAAATCAGATCTTAGGTTTCTCTGGGGGATGCAAACAAAATTCATGTTTAAGGTCAACATAGAAAGATAACCCACTGTGGAATTCTATCTGATGACTAGAACAGAAAAGTGAGCAAATATATTTTCCTGGAGAGGATATTCTAGGCATAGCATAAGTTTCTTGACAGTTGAGTGTGTGTATCCCATTCAAAAAGGCCTTGATTTCTACAACTTTTAATTGCCAACTTTGAAGAATATAATTTGATTTTGCAAATAGTATCCAACCTCTCATTTGTCAAGTGAAATGATAGCTAGGTTACTTCAGGGGATAAGCTATTATCTATCATGGTCAAAGACACCAGTAATGCTGGTTGGAAACTTAGAAGACTAATAACAAGGCTATGGTCCAAAACAAGTAGGTATTTTGATTCCAGGGATATAAACAAGATTAGAGAGAGATCAGACAGAGGCTCAGATCAAAGGCAGCAATCAGAATAAAAAATAAAAGTAGAGCTCTTCCCAGGGAGTGGGAAATATATGCCATTCCAGATGTTTTTGAACACCAGTTCATAGTAACTCCAGACATATCATCTATAGTGAGGGATCCTGGGAGTTGTAGTTCAACAAATCTGGAAGGTCACTGCTTCCCTGCTTCTGAACTAGTTTTCAAGTTACAGCCTGAAAATAGCAGGGAGAAAAGCATGTGTAAAACAAAAATATGTATGGTGATTTTCTTGTCTGAAGGACATTTTAATGGAAGGGAGTCATTAATGCAACTTGGGTTGGTAAGGTAAGTGTTTCATGGAGCCTTATGAAGGCAGATGATAAACCCCAAAGCATGAAGGGGGAAAGCAAAAGTGAATATTTTGCACTTGGCTCAGAAACAAATTGGTGTATTTTCTAGGGATTTAAAGAATATGATCTGAGCAGGAGCCACCCATCAAAATTAGGTTAATTAATTAATTAATTAATTAATTCACCCAATTTTTTAATTAATTAATTAATGCCTTTCAAAAATTCATTGGTTATTGTGCTGTCCTGAGATTCTAAAGACAATATAAAATGTTGCAACTAATTCTGATAATGAAGAAGAGTGTTGAATGGAGCAAGTGGCAAGTTGTGATTTTGTATAAGGGCAGTTGGTAAATAAGCAAAACTAGAAAGTGAAATGATCAGAATCAACTAAGCCACCTTTGTGGCATCCGAGAACAGAAATAATTATTACAAATTAACAACAAAACTGTTATTAAAACAGACAGAAACACAAACAGTATTTTGAAAACTTGGATTCTACTATTTGTTAACATGTGTTAACTTAAATGGTTTAACTTAAAACTTAGTGTGCTGATTCAGTCAACTTCTCTATAGAATTTTTGAAGTTTATTGTGTTGTCCTTTTCTCACCGTCTTCTCCCTTTCCTAAAAGAAGTAGGATTAGGGAGATTATACATATATCTACCGGCATATATGTTTATATATTTTTCTCTCTGTGTGTCTCTGTCTCTCTCATATGTCTAATCTATCTATCATCTATCATTTATCTATCTACTTATCACATACAGACATCTACATCTAAAATTTATATACACACACATACACATATACACATATATGTACATATATACATACACATTCTCATTCCCACACATACATATTATATGTACAGTATATGATAAACCTCTTGAAAATATCTGCCTGAAAGTTGGCTGGGTTAAAAGAGTCTAAAACATCTTTAGCCAACCCTGCTACGCCTACCTCATTGGCCCATATGTAAGCTGCTTCAAATCTACTTACCTTCCCTACCAGTTCGGAAGTGCATGCGCTGCTCCGCTTGCGTGCATGCATCACGTACACACTTGGACCCTCTGCGCATGCGCAAACCCTTCTGCTCATACATAGAGGGTAAAAAACAGGTTACTTCCTGGTTAAAACCAGGATGTAATGATGACCGGGCGGATGGGCGGAGCCTCGCACCACCATCGCTACTGGTTCTCTGAACCACCTGCCACCATCGCTACCGGTTTGGCTGAACCGGTCTGAACCGGGAGCATTTCACCCCTGACTTTATCATCCCTACAAACCATTCATGCAAACCATTCTTGCTTCTATCATGTCCTTGTGCTACTTTTTTGTTTTCCTTTGTTGTTAAATATGATCACTAATGTATCTAATATGGATTCCTTATCTTGTTTAGGAAAACCTATTCTGAATCCAAACTGCTGCCAAGTAACATCTCAGAAGATCCCTCATGGTCCTGCACTGGAGGCAGAAAATGAGCTGTAGAGTTTAGTGCCATCTGCCCAGCAAGCCTTCAGCTGTAACTTGATATCCTCTCCCACCAGTCTCTTTAATTCTTCCTATTAAAATCAATAGGTGCGTATCTTGTCTTTAATGTGAGGCAAAGCAATATAAATTATTTTATGGTGCTGATTTAATTTTTTAAAAATTATTTATTTATTCACAAGGTTGTGTATCATCGGTCTTGAGAAAATGCCTCTAAATAAATAAATGCAGTCAGCAAGTAGTAATAGCAATAGACTTACATACTGCTTCATAGTTGAACAGAACAGAACAGAACAGAACAGAATAGAATGGAAACAAGAGTTTTACAGCATTCTCTAAGTGGTTTACAGAATCCGCATATTGCCCGCAACAATCTGAGTCCTCACTTTATTAACCTCAGAAGGATGGAAGACTGAATCAACCCTGAGCCATTTAAGATTGAACTGCTGGCAGTGGGCAGAGTTAGTCTGCAATGTTGCATTCTAACCGCTGCGCCGCCACAGCTCTTCAGTAGTGTACGCACTTGGCAAGAGTTGGACTAGCAGGATTGCATTTCTAGGTTCACTTACCTAGAAATAAACCATATTTAACTGAGCAAGGATGACTTGGAGGCAAACATCTATAGAACTGGAATAATACGTTACTTTTGGCAAAATTATATTTAACATTATTAACATTGGCCTTAAAATTATTATGACTATTATCATTCTCCTACTCCTAAAGGATTGATATGAATTCTTTAAAGTGTTTCACTGAATCATCTTCATTTAACGACCCCATAATCCCTTGCAGGGTGGAGTCTGGGCAACTGAATGGTGTGTAAAACAGAGTGTTTTAATGGCCGGATGCCCTTCCTGTTGCCAATGTGGAGCTTTGTTAGCACATAAATTCTCAGTGTGCCCAGAGAGAGAAATATCTGCCTCTACCTAGAATCGAACTCACAGCCTCCTGATTGTGGGGCGAGAGCTCCACCTCTAGGCCACTGTACCACTCCAAAGTGTTTCACTGAACGATCAGCATTTATTTGCAAGTACAGGTACTCCTCAACTTACAATTACAATTGGGACCAGAAATTTGGTTTTAAATTATTGTTGTCATACGGCAAGGCACCTACATGTGCCCAGACTCCATTTTATAACTTTTTCCTTATGAAGATCATTAAGCAAGTCATCAGAGTCCTTAAGCCAACATGCAGTCGTTATGCAAACTACATGATCGTAAGCATGAATCCATTTTATCCAGTGGGCATCTTTTTGCTGGAACATGGCAAAACATGATAACGTGACCATGTGATGCTCCACCTCATTGTAAATACAAGCCGGTTACCAAGCACCCAAAATGTGATCACATGAGTGAGAGAATAATGCTGCAGTCTTAACATCAAGGACTGGCCATAAGTAACCTTTTTCTAGTCCATAGTAACTCTGAACAGTGATCAAGTGACTAGTAGTAAGTAAAGAACTACCTCTACTTCAAATGTTTAACATTCCAAAAGATCAATTTAAGTTCTAAAAATGGTCAGGGTTCAGCTGATTTCATCACAAATACAATATATCTATAGGATAAGCAAAAAGGTGCACAGATTCCTAAATCCATTATTTCTGTATGACCTTGTTTTAATGGATTAACTGTTTTGTTAAGGAATTTTCCTTGAGTCAGAAAGTTGTAGAAATTTACATCAGTTGTGTAAATGATTCTTAATTTATGTTAGGTTGCCATACACATCATTTGAATTCTTTGCATTTAAATGATATAAATTGCAACATAAATATGATTTCTGCTGCATGATGTCCATTCCGTTTAAGTCCAATTTTTTTAAAAAGGTTCACGGCAGATAGCAGAGCCTTTTACAGTCTGATTTTGTCTAGCAGGTTTTTCCTTAATAGTTAAAAGAAATGCAGGAGATTTAAAATTCTTGAATAATATTACTATTTTACCACTGGCTTTTCAATTTAGGGAAAGATAATCTGAAAAATGATGATGGCATCAGAAGTAGGTTGATATTGTAAAAGCTATTATCACAATAAAATTATACTGAGAAACAAAAGGCATACCTGTGAATGTATTTTTTTTTAAATGATGTTCAAAAATTTGGCTGTTAAAAACATGACTGCTATGTTTCCATCAAATGCATCACTATCCCTAAAACATCTGTAGAAGCCTGATATATGTTACCGTATATTGATTTAATTAATATTTCAAATCTTTTCATGAGACTCTGAAATGTACAGATTTACTATGCATTTTTCATGAGTTTTTATATTATACATCTATCTTTTAAAAAAAAACTCAGCGTTTTATAGCTGTCCAATTACTTACAAATAATTAATGCTGCTAAAGATCATTGCAAATGAATGTCTTACTGAGAAGCTGCATTTGTAGATACCATTTTCAATTCACAATATACTGTATGATTAACTATTTTGCTATTTTCTTTTATTAGGAAGGTACAATTAGTGATGGTTTCTGGATGTATGGACATTGTGAAAACATAAATTTATGCACATCATGTGATGAATTGCACAAAGGTCAGGATATTTTATATTTGTAAATAGTTTTATGTGGAGTAAATCTTATATGGACAAAAATGGACTTTCATCATAATGGAGTAAATTATGGAGTAGACATAAATCTAAGATTCCATGATCCTAGCTAACATTAACTCAAATACTTTGGCCACCTAATGAGAAGGAAGGACTCACTGGAGAAGAGCCTAATGTTTGGAAAGATTGAGGGCAAAAGAAGAAGGGGACGACCGAGAATGAGATGGCTGAATGAAGTCACTGAAGCAGTCAGCGTGAGCTTAAATGGACTCCAGAGGATAGTAGAGGACAGGAAGGCCTAGAGGAACGTTGTCCATGGGGTCGCAATGGGTCGGACACGACTTCGCAACTAACAACAACAAGCTAACTTTACTGCTACACCATATTTGCAACAACTAAATATGTAATCATTTGTTAAGTCTTTGGCCAATTAATTCTATTGACTGCAAGAATAATGAATAAATCTCTCCTTTTCTCTAAGATTTTTACTCTCTCCAACATATACATTGAACAATGTAGAAGCTATATTGGTTTTGATTTTACAATCATTCAGTATGTTTTTCACAGTATAGCCATTATGATTATGTGATTCAGACAGACTATATGGGTCTTCCCGAAGACAAAAATCAGCGGGATGGGAAATACCCTCGATAATCTTCCCTACATTTTTGCAATATGTACATTCTTTTCCCAGTGCTGGAAGATTAACACAACAGGAATCAGCTCTTATGCTGTTTTAAAGGGCCATGAATAAATAGGGAGAGGTTGCCTCTTAAAAGCAATCTAGTTCAATAGTGTCTGAAATATCTCACCAAGATGGAAATTGGTATGCATGAAAGGTGAAAGATTTTCAGAGGTTATTTCTGCTGATTGATTGTGTGTCATCAAGTTGATGTTGACTTTTAGTGACCACGTAGGTGGATTTTCTCCAAACTCATCTACCCTCTCATTTGGTCCTTCAGATCTTCCAATGAGTCACCCATCACCACTATAATTGACACCATGTCCTTACTGCCGGTCACTGTCTTTTTTTCTTCACTTTCCTAGTATTACAAACTTTTCAAGAAAGCTCGGATTTTATTTCTAGAATTTGAGAAGTGCCATGTTTTAAAGAACAAAACTGAAAGAAGAGTTTGTAATCTGGAGGATTTGAAATCAATGGATGCAATGAAAAAGAATTATCTTTTTCTGCTCTGGAATATTATGTCCTTTATAGATACACTGCATTAATTAGATCTTATGATTAAAGCCTCTATATTTTATATATAGGCTGTATAATTAAGGGTAGTGCAGTAGCTCAGTGGTTTAGATGCTGAGCTTATAAACTGGAAAGCTGACAGCCCAAATTTGAGACCTGAGCACCATGCAACGGGCTGAGCTGCCATCCACGCCCTAGCTCCCGCCAAATTATCAGTTTAAAAGCATGTAAATGTGAGTAGATAAATGGGTAAGTGGGAAGGTAACAGCATTCCATGACATCATGCTGGCCACATGACCATGCAAACATCTTCAGGCAGCGCTAGCTCAATGGCCTTAAAACAGAGATGACACCAGCCCCTATAGTGATGACTAGCAAAGTAATATCTGCAGGGACTCTTTTATCTTTATATAATAATTAATATTTGGTCCTTATACATTTCTGTTCGTTAAAACCTTATCTTACACAATTTCTATCAAAGACTATTATTTAGTCATTTTTAGTTCATTTACAATTTTGTTCTTTTTATGCACATAGTTAGATCTGAATAACTCCACCCAAAAAAACGCTTAAGGTAATTTAATGTGGAAATATCAAGCACTTGTTAACGTTTATGCTAGTTTGTTCAAAATGAAAAAAAATATTTCAAATGTAAATCAAATACCATATTTATGCCAGGATGCCAGTTATCACTGCAGCTAGATCCCTTAAAAACAGTGTTTCTGACGAGATGCATTCACTTAGAAAGTTAGAGGCACCGAGGGATTCTGCCAAGCTAGGTATTGTTCATCCTACTGTCAATTTTAACTGACATATTAATCCATCTCTCCTGTGGCTGTCTTTACTAAGGCAGGTACATTTTAGTAATCAGATGGAAAGAACTGGATGTGTTGCTTTTTAGGAAGAGTGTGGGAAAATGCACTCCTTCAAATCTAATTAACAGATAGTACATGCTGAATGAAAAAAAAATGATTTCAGAACAATGCAAGTCGAGACACTCAGGCACTAAGCTTATAAATGATATCTGCTTTCCACCATAAACAAGCTTTGAAACAAAAACTATTAATCATTTCAGCATCATTCTTCTGAAAGAATGAGTAGATTCATCTTATTGTCAGTATTACTACAGTTGCACTCTTTAATCAGTTAAAAATCAGTACTCACTTATGCTTAAAATTGACTACAACAGATAGAAATTGCCCCGAAGAAATATGGTTATTTTTTTTATACATACAAAGTTTCTTAATATATGAGTTTCCTAAACCAATAAATAAATGAATGATAAAATCTGAAAACCCTTCATACTACAAATTTCTCTGATGTTTAATTTGGTACCATCAAGTCAAATTCCTCCAA